ACTATTATCATCATCATTATTATTATTATCATTATTATTAATTATCATTATTATTATTATTACTATTATTATTATCATTATTATTACTATTATTATTATCATCATTATCATTATTATTATCATGATCATTATTGTTATTGTTGTTGCTGTTGTATGTAAATCCACACACGTACATACGTATGTCCGTGTATTCTCCGCATATATACATGTACGTGACCGTGTACGTACCTGTCTGTCTGTATGTATGTACGTATTTGACAGGACGACTGAAACAGTTCTTGCCTTACCTAGATTTCGCAAGTCGTCTAGGAACCCGGTGTCCTTGATCACGGACGGGCCATCCTTAACACCCATGCGACGCTGTAGAAGAACGAGTGGGGAATGTGGTGGTAAGAAATGGGTTGTGGGAGAGGTGGAATGGGTGAATGGGGGCGGGGGGTGGAAAATGGGTTGTGGGAGAGGTGAAATGGGTGAATGGGACGGGGGGTGGAAAATGGGTGGGAGAGTGGAATGGGTGAATGGGGACGGGGGGTGGAAAATGGGTTGTGGGAGAGGTGAAATGGGTGAATGGGGACGGGGGGTGGAAATGGGTTGGGGAGAGGTGAAATGGGTGAATGGGGGACGGGGGGTGGAAAATGGGTTGTGGGAGAGGTGAAATGGGTGAATGGGGACGGGGGGTGAAAATGGGTTGTGGGAGAGGTGAAATGGGGTGAATGGGGACGGGGGTGGAAAATGGGTTGTGGGAGAGGTGAAATGGTGAATGGGGACGGGGGTGGAAATGGGTTGGGGAGAGGTGAAATGGGTGAATGGGGTGAGGGGTGGAAAATGGGTTTTGTGGAGAGGTGAAATTGAATGGGAAAAAATGGGTTTGTGGGAGAGGTGGAATGGGTGAACGGGGGTGGGAATGGGTTTGTGGAGAGGTGAAATGGGGGAATGGGTGAGTAGAAAATGGGTTGTGGGGAGAGGTGGAATGGTGAATGGGGTTGGTTGATTAGGAAGAGGTTGTGGGAGAGGTGGGAATAGGTGAATGGGGCGGGGGGTTGATAAGGAATGGGTTTGTGGGAGAGGTGAAATAAGTGAATGGGACGGGGGGGTGATAAGATATGGGTTGTGGGAGAGGTGGAATAGGTGAATGGGGACGGGGGATAGAAAATGGGTTGTGGGAGAGGTGAATGGGGTTTGTTGTTAGGAATGGGTTGTGGGAGAAGTGTAATGGGGGAATGGGTGATAAGAAATGGTTGTGGGAAGAGGTGGAATAGGTGAATGGGGTTTATTGTTAGGAAGGGTTGTGGGAAAGTGAAATGGGGAATGGGGTTGGTTGAAAGAGGTTGTGGGAGAGGTGGGATAGGTGAATGTGGGCGGGGGTGATAAGGATGGGTTTGTGGGAGAGGTGAAATGGGGAATGGTGAGTAGAATGGGTTGTGGGAGAGGTGGGATAGGTGAATGGGGTTGGTTGATTAGGAAGAGGTTGTGGGAGAAGTGAAATGGGGGAATGGGTTTGTTGTTAGGAATGGGTTGTGGGAAAGTGAAATGGGGAATGGGGTTGGTAGATTAGGGCTGTGGGAGAGGTGGAATAGGTGAATGAGGTGGAGGGTGAGTAGAAATGGGTTGTGAAATGGAATGGAGGAATGGGTTGAAGAAGTGAAATGGAAAATTGAGATTAGAAATGGTTGTGGGAGAAGTGGGGGAATGGGTGATAAGAAATGGGTTGTGGGAGAGGTGGAATAGGTGAAATAGGAAAATGGGGAGTTGACTGATAGGAAATGGATCGTAGGAGGGATGAAATGGGTGAATGGGAGGGGTAAATAATAGTAAATAGATTGTAGGAGAAATGGAAATAGGTGAATGTGGGTGGAATAATAAAAATGGAATGAAAATAGATTAATGGGGTTGAACGACAGAAAACGGGTTGTAGGAAAAGATTGAAATAGGTTGGATAAATGAAAAATGGGTGATTGGAAATAGGCCATAGCTAGGAAGGATAAGAAGGATAAGTGGGTTTGAAGAAAAATGAAATACATTGGTGAAATAGAATTGATAAAGGGTAGAAGAATTACATAAATTAGTGAAATAGGGCATGGCTGATAAGAAATAAGTTGCAGGAAGGATTAAAACAGATAAATTGGGCTTTGTTGATAAAAATATGCAGTAGAAAAAGATAACATAATCTTAGCCAAGAATTTATATAGCCATATCTACAAAACCAGCAATACATTTACATACATACAAACACACACAAATCCTTGTATACACATACAAAACACCCTTTCTGTGTAGGTGTACATTCGAAGATTTTAATTCATTTTGAGCTAAAGAATCGTAGCGCAGTTAGCAACAAGCAACGAGGATAATACACCTGCCTTTTAAAAGCACAGGCACAAGCATTTTCAGTTGCATGACGGCTCAGAACCCTACTTCGGAATTTGCACTTTGAGGTCCCCAATTTAGAGAATGTTTTTGTTCGTCTGCTATTGATTGGGGGGGGGGCGAGTATGTTTTG